CACTAAAATTCAACAAAATTAATTCCCATAACGGTTGATGAGCAGTAACTGGAAGTATGCAGTGCAAAATCGGAGAAAAGTACCTGACCTGTGCGAACATTCTAGTAACATAAGGAACCTAAACTGATAGCCTGGGAGATCTTAATATTCTTGCTAAATGGGTAGTATTTAAAACCTACATTCTTTGAATGCCGTAAAATGAGGGCTATTGGAGATGATTTCAAGAAGTGTTTGTGTTGTTAACGGAAGTGGTTTCTGCAGAAGCTGTACAATGCCATTTTTCCACATCAAATCTTCATCAGCTGTTAGTACGCAATTCAGCAAAGGCTGAAATATACAGTCAAAATAACTTTTAAAAGTATCATGAACTGAAAGTTGAGGCTTCAACTCTGTCAGTGCGACAACCAGTCCCTGTAAGATTCGCTCAAAAGTTTCGATGGTAAATTGGCGTTGGCATCAAAATCGCCATTATCTTGCTTCTAAGCAATCTTCGAAAGAAGGAGCTATCGATAGCGCTGTCAGTAGGTGGAGTTGTTAACATTTGCTACGACATGTGCTATTTTCTGAATATATCCTCTTCCTGCAAAAACTGAGGGATGGCCTAGGTCTGGATTTTGTTTTTTTTTTTGAAAAGTGCTGTAACTGACGAAGATGGTTTTCTTGAGAGGAGTCCGAGCTTTTTCGTGATGCGCTTGATTTTTGTTTTTTAATGACACCTCTTTGACAGACTTGTCTCAATTTTTTTAGCTCTGTTGTGTTTTTGTTCATCAATATGCAAAAAATCGATTCAAAAATTGAATTTTTAAGGCATTTCCCGCCCGGACGTAAATAGTAATAAATAATAATAACTTGGATGCAAGTGACAATAATTATTAGTAACAATTAATAATGACACGACTTAAATGTAAATAACAAACAAAATAACAACAGCAATAATTTCAATGATAATGATAATAACAACAGTGACAATATGCATGCGATAATAATTATCGTTTTAGTAATAGTTAACAGTAATAATGGTAATAATGTTGATAATAATAAGAAAAGAAAAGCTAGGCTCGTTTGGGATTGAACGCTGCTTAGCAAAACTGAGCAAAAAACATTACGTTTGCTTTAGCCGAGCGCTCATTGCGCCTTGCTGAGGTAGAGGAAAGTGTTTTTTGAACTCCTCACCTGCAAACGTTGCGAGTTTTCAGCTGCATATTTGGAGAACCGCGCTA